AGAGGCACTGGGGGTATTTTGGGGCATCAATGTTCTTTTTTCTTTTGAATTTGTATAGAGTCGGATTTTTTTTTTTTTGAATTTTTAAGAAATGAATAATGCCAACAGGACGAATCGGTCTCTTCTGTTAATTTGGACCGTTTTTAGTTGCAAAATTTTTCTTCAAACTTCCAACTTTGCCATCACATCAAAATTTTCCTACACATACAAACTTCCAACTTTTCCGTCGTATCGTCCCAATTTCAACCAAACTTTCAATTTTAACGTGAACTAAACACACCATTCGGGCCTAGCGAGGCATATAGCTCCTGCATCATATCATGCGTTTGTATATGCTACGTACGTGAGTGCTTGCTCGATCGTGTAGGGGACCTCTAATTTCATGCTTCTTTACACGCACACTCTACATTGCAAATATGCAAAAGCCCCATACAAAATGCACGCTTTAATCACTCCATCGAATCCATACATAGTCTCTCTCTGCAGCCTAAAGAGATTGATCGAGGCTATAATTGATTTGGATCCATACATAAATATATATAAACTATATGGCACACTTGCATGGGTTGATCAAATAATTGGAGGCATAATATAAATATAAATGCAAATGCATTGCATGCAGATGCAGGCCAACCACTGAACCTCGAATTTAACCTGCGGATCGAGCGAGAGAAAGCGATGCTACTTTTGCAGGTGTAGCTAGCTAGGCCGGGTCATGGGCAATCAGGATCAAATCTCACTAAAACACAGGCTTAGTACAGCAAAAACAATGATTAGTTAGTGCGTGATCTTTGCAAGGGCTCACTGAATCTCCCTTTCCCCTCTTGTTTAATCACTAGTAGTATTTAGCTAGTGTAGCTAGCTAGATGATGCATCGATCAGAGACGATGTGTGTGTCACTCATCAGGGCTACACAGCTACTTCCTCTGTCCCATTTTAAATGCAACTATAAGTTTTCGCACTCAACTTTAATCGTTCGTCTTATTTAAAATTATTTTATAATTAGTATTTTTGTTGTTATAAGATGATATCATATGAATAGTACTTTACTCGTGACTTACGTTTTAAATTTTTTTTCAAATAAGATGAACGGTTAAAGTTGGGCACGAAAAACCATGGCTGCACTTAAAATGGAACGGAGGGAGTATACAAGAAGAGATGGTCATCACATGCTGGTCATTCCGGAGGCTGGAGTTTTTAAGCATTCGCAGTTGGCTAAGCTTCAGGCCAATTGATTGATTAATGGCCTGCATGCAAAGCTGATCTCTGCACTGCACATGACTGATGAAAGGCTCCTTATTATTAGCAGCAGCAGCGGTGGTCCTTCGTCGGCATATATATGGCGTGGCCCGGCGATCGCCGGCCGGCCGGCGTAGTGGCCACGGCGGAAAATTAAAGCAGGACACAAAGAAAGGAACGGCCGGGTGACCAGAAAGGAGAAGGAAAAAAGGACTCAATTTTGGTGGTGAAAGAGAGAGAGAGAGAGAGAGAGAGAGAGGAGTGTTGCCTTTTTGTGGCGTTCTTGTGAGCTTCCTTAATTAATCTTTAATTTCCTGTTGTATGATTTGGACTGGATAGCATCATGCCAAGCATGGATCAGTGCAGATAATTAAAGGGACTTGGAACTTGAGGGTACCTGTGCTTGCTGTGTGACAGCATTTCCAGTAGCTGATAGTAACATGTGAAGAGAGAAGAGCCTCTTTTTTAAAAAATTTTCTGGGGGTTGCATGCAATTACTTGTTGCCTTGAGGTTAAGTACACTTATCGTCTACCCGCCTGCAAGAATTAACTGCAAAATCAGAAGAAGAAGAAGAAGAAGAAGAAGAAGAAGAAGAAGAAGAAGAAGAAGAAGAAGAAGAAGAAGAAAGTTCATGCATGCTTTAATCTGCCAATATGACTATTAATTTATGGTGGTGGTTGTTCAGAACTTCAGATTCTGCATGCATGGAGCACTATATGCTTTGTAGAACTGAAGAAGTATAGGTTGGAGAACAGTTTACAGTCAGATACTATAGGGCTAAAATGGTGTTGCACCTGGTACCTTTTTAAAGAAAAGAGTCTCTAACTCTCTATATATACCTGATAAGTGTGCCATATATACTTGTAACATATTGATTAAATATGCAAATTATTGATAATAATTTATAAGTTCTAAAAGGTGTATTATACGATAGAATTTGAATCTAACCATTAATTTTTATGGGTATTGTAGACAAACTATCCGGGCTTTAACTAAGGTACTCACCCCAATCATGGGTATTTTTATGAGTAATTTTTACACTCATACTCATCAATGATTATCTGCTGATTAAAACTTTTTTAGATAATGGGCAATATATAATGCCCAGCCTCTGCATCCGGAAGCGGGTGCGCACGGCCAAGTCTGCTGATTAAAATGACATGAGAATTCACCCCAACCGCAATGCATTTCAATTCCACTAAGCATTTGTAAAAAAGCACAAGCTTCCGTTGATATCCAACTATACACTAACATTGCCACTATATATGCATCGCTAGTCCTTTCAAACAAAAAGATATGTATTTAATTAATTTGCTTCACTTAAGCAACTAACACTTGAAGGCTCTCAACCAATCCACCAGCAGGTTAAGCTCCAAAGATCTTGCAAACAAGTTGCTTTTATTTTCTCTCTTACGTTTGCGCGAGGAATCTTGCAACATGTTTAAATAATGACAAATGTTTTGACAGCCAATAGTTACACATGTTCTTTACCTGTGTTATCATTAATCGATCTAAAATTCTAAACTAGCTAGGTAGAAAGTACTGATGAGTGGTTCAAATGCTTTCAGCTTCTCCTTTGGCCAGCTTTATGCAAAGTGCAAAGGTAAGGATGAAACTGATTATACTGGATCAAACCAATAACTTGCAGCTCTTTTCATTCCTTTTCCTTGAATTTCCTCCTTTTCTAGATGAACTTTAATTTCCTCCTTTTTTTTCTAGATGGACTTTAATTTCCTGATACACATGTTAGTTGGAGTGAAGCTTTCGGTATAAGAAAAGATAAAAGAGTACCAGAGGACATTAAAATCAAACATCAGAATGCTAATGGAGGATTTCAATATTAAGGAAATGACTTATTTGACCATTCGTATATACCACTATACCAGCATGATTTATGCATGAATGTACCAACTTAGACCACTATTATGTCATAAAGAAAAACCGGTTGGTACCAAAGAAAACGTAAGGAGAACATACAAAATTGCAAAGCCCATCAGGCCATGAACAAATTGTACGTTTTCTTCTCAATTATACAAGGGAAGCACAAGAATTGGAAACAGCCGGCCTGCTTACAGCACAAAGGCTCAATCTAAGTGCTAACAAGCCGGCCCAAAGACAGGCCAGAAGAAAACCTGACATTCTGCCCCCATTTTGATTTTGAGCAAGACAGGCCTAAATCTGTTTAATGCCGGCAATAAAATTGTTTTGTTAATGGTACCAACCACCTTAGGTTTGCTTTCATTATGCTCATGGAAATACTATTGCCCCCAGACCTTATTGCAACAAAAAAAAAATCACATTTTCAACATTTAGCCATGTGTTCCTAGCACTCTTCACAAAGTTTGTAATGCCATAAGAAAAATCTCGATAGATAATTTACGAGACTGATGCCTAAATCAACCTTACTAAATTTTAGTGGTGTCAAATTTTAATGTTGCTAATATTTAGTAAGGTTGAGATGTGTGGGTTGTATTCGATCTGCTACCTTTGTCATGTTTTTGTGAGAGAGAGATTCGAGAATTGGCAATGTTTGAATCATTAACTTTGCAGGGTTAATTTTGACAATAAAGTGAACAGCCCGCTGCTAATCATGGCATTTGCAATATCATTGTTCAGTCCAAGCTCAAATGCCGGCCGTGGAGCACAGTTTGGCCTTACTGGAAGCATCAGACAAGAATGTTGCCAAAAAAAAAAATCAATTTACAAAGCATATACACCTCCCTTCCTATGTCCTATACTTGATTGAGGTCTTCTTCAAGATGTGTGGAGCCAGAACAGTGTTCAAGAAAAGGAGAAGAGAACAAGATACCTGATGTTGCTTGATTAATTTGAGATCTTTTACCAATTCAAAGATTCCAAGGCAATTTAGGCGTGGGTCAACTGATTTTGATACATTTAAAGTTTCAGCCTTTTGTTCCAACTGGCACTGGTCCTTCAACAGAAAATTGACGATGCACCAAATTTCAGATTGCTTTCTCAAAATCCTACAAGAGACAAAGATCATGAGATGACAAAGTTGCTTCGAGTATACAAGATATCTTCCAGTTTTGTTAAATAAAAACAAAATAGCATCCACAAATTCAGGCATAGATTTCATGTGGAGCCATCTTTGCATTGACTGAACCGTTTCACGTTAAGCACCAATATAGCAGCAGTTCAGAATTTTCAGGTGTGGGATTTTTTTTTCTTTTCAGAATTTGAAGGCATGAAACTTGGTTTGTATCTTTACAATACAAAATCATAATCTGCTTTAAGCACAATTCAAGCAGAACTCTCCTTTCTTTTCATAAAAGACAGATGCACCTTTAGTTACAGCCTACTATTAGAGCATTATATGGGCTTTTCGAGAGCAAGGATCCCAATTTGTTCCTAGATAAAAGAGCAGCATCTGAACATTTAAGGCATTGCATATTTCTTGCTGTACAATCCAATAAGTTTATTACTGCCAGATTACTGTACACACTCATGCTCCTTTTGGCATGCTTACTTTTATATTTTCATCACAATAGTCTTAAAAAAATATCCTACAGTCCAACAGAATTTGGCTAGGATTTAGTTCAGGATTAAACTAAAACCCCAACCAAACCCTGAACTAAATCCCAACAAAATCTTCCCTAACCAAACACAACATCTCCATGCATTCATATAGTAATCCTTTCAACTCTCTAGAAGCGCTGGATCATACGCATACCTATCCCAATCAGACAACACTTCCTGAGAAGTTCTTGTCACACTAGGTGTTCCTCCTCTATCCTTCCACATGAGCAAAGAAGCGTTCACACTCTGGCTGTTCTTCCTGTTGCTTGTACATGGCGCCTTCGCTGATCAGGCTGCTCGAGTCCTGGAGTTCTCCAGGTCCAGAATGGAGATGCGGGACGACCAATATACGACGGAGCACACGAGTCAACGTGCCAATCATCAGCTGTACATGAGCTCTCAAGATGGACTCAAGGAGGCAGACAAGGTCAGTGAGCTCCCTGGGCAGCCAGGCAGAGCTGGCTTTGATCAGTATGCAGGATATGTCACGGTTAATGCCACATCCGGGAAGGCCCTCTTTTACTACTTTGCAGAGGCTACTGACGATCCTTCCACTAAGCCTTTGGTCTTGTGGCTGAATGGAGGTACCCCTACATGACTGATTGATATGCATTTTAGTGTACCTTTCTGTGATTCTGTCAGATGAAATGGGTGGCTTTCTATTATCTGATTGTGTTATCCGTTGCTTTCTGCTGTCTGAATTTTGTATGGTGTTGCAGTATGCCTGAAAGGTGTTGTTTCCTAACCATCCATCAAAAGCATACTTTGCATCCATCCAATCATGCTTCCAAAGTTCAAAATTCTGTGAAGTTCACAGTTTACGAGCCTGTTGACTATTTCTCAAACTATTCTAATCATCTAATAGTATAGAATCTACTGTAGAAGATATATGCTCCTGAATAGGATTAACATGTGAATTCTATCGTATGACAAAGTTGTACCTTGAGATTTCAGGGCCTGGATGTTCTTCTCTGGGAGATGGAGCTATGCTTGAAATTGGACCATTCTTAGTCAATGGCGATAACAGGACACTGTCCATAAACAGATATGCATGGAACAATGGTAAGCAAACCACCACAAATGTATAGGATCAAATTATACTCACCACGAAAAATCATAATACCTTCGCACAGTTGCACTAATGATCGTTCTTGGATGGCAGTGGCAAACATGCTCTTCCTTGAGAGCCCAGCTGGTGTTGGCTTCTCATACTCCAACACAACATCAGACTACGACAACACTGGTGACACGAGCACGGCAGCAGATGCATACACTTTCCTCACCAACTGGCTCGAGAGGTTCCCAGAGTACAAGGGCCGCGACTTCTTCATAACAGGTGAAAGTTACGGCGGCCACTACATACCACAGCTTGCGAATGCTATATTGTCGAACAACAATATCACAAATGTCACCATCATCAATTTGAAAGGAGTTGCAGTAAGTTTCAGACAATGACAATTAGCAATCCTTATAATAATATCAGGCCATATATACTGAATTCTACCTTCGTCTTGTTGGGAACAGATTGGGAATGCATACTTGGATGATAGCACAAACACAAGAGCAACAATTGATTACTACTGGACACATGCTTTGATCTCCAAAGAAACTCACCTTGCAGTTCAGCGAAATTGCAGCTTCAATGGAACATACATGGCACAATGCCGAAATGCTTTAGCAGAAGCTGATACTGAAAAGGGAGTCATTGATCCATACAACATCTATGCACCCTTATGCTGGAACGCTTCCAATCCCCGACAGCTGCACGGCTCGGTAATTAAAATTGTTGTCACAGATTTTATCATCTTTCCCGAGCTGCTTTTCCCATCTCATCAGATGGTTTTGCAGGCAATCAATGTTGACCCCTGTAGCAGATACTACGTCGAATCATATCTGAATCGCCCCGAGGTTCAGAGAACACTTCATGCTAACACCACAGGATTAAAACAGCCATGGTCAGGTTGCAGGTGCAAGAATAGAACCAAAAGTCTTTTTGAGTATTTCATACTAAACTTTAGGGTTCTAACCAAGTTTCATATGCTTTCTGACCAGTAATATCATCACTCCTGAAAATTGGAAAGATGCACCTGTGTCTATGTTACCATCTATCCAAGGATTGATTTCAAGTGGAGTAAGTACATGGCTGTACAGGTGAGTCATCGAACATTTTCCTAAAACTTTACTTGAACTCAGTCTGTTTTGAATTTATCACCCTGCTAAGAAATGTTCATTTTTACCTTTTCCAGTGGTGATATCGATGCGGTGTGCCCAGTAACTTCAACATTGTACTCATTAGACATTCTAGAACTACCAATAAACTCATCTTGGCGACCATGGTACTCCGATGACAATGAGGTATAAAGTTTTGAATTAGGAATAGAAGCACTAAAGGATGAAGTCTAAACATTAATTTGCATGTAGGGTTCTGAAACTGGTTTTGTTTCTTGGGGAGATTGCAGGTTGCTGGCTATGTTGTTGGATACAAAGGTCTGGTATTCGCAACAGTCAGAGAATCTGGACATATGGTTCCTACCTACCAACCTCAAAGAGCACTCACCTTGTTCTCCTCGTTCCTGCAAGGGATATTACCCCCTGAATGACCATAACTTTGAAAGCTCTGTTTCTTTTTTAATTTTTGGTTTGTTTCTTACAGTGAAAGATAGAACAGTTTGTCTGGGAAAAATAACTGGAACACAGTAACTAGTTGTTCCCATAGGAGATTGCTTTTATCAGTAGAAATACAAGCATTCATATTACAAGAGTATCGAGTTATGGAGGTAGTTAAATCATTTTAGATGAGCACCCATGCCTTGTTACTAAAACCCAACATATAGCATCTGTGTTGAAGCGTACTTATTTCCACATATTGCAATTTTTTGTAATAATTTGCAGCTCTTTGGAGATATTTTGTGTTCATAATATCAAATAAGGTGTACATTTTGGCAGTTGCATGTGTAATTTCAATACATGTCAGTAGTTCAGTTAGATCAATATTAAGCTTCCTTTTAGAAAAGAAGGGAGAAACTTATAGCTTTCTTCTCAGTAAAAAATAAAAACGAAAGAAAGAAAGAAACTAAAACTAAAACATTATCTAGATTATCTCCATAACCACCATGCTGGATGTGAATTTGAACAGATTTCTACACGTAAAGTGTGAGAACTATGAAAGCCTCTCATGTCGTTGTATTTTTAAATGGACCACAAGATATTCTCAAAGTCTCTCCACACAGCATCTCAACTCTTTGCCCATCCATCCATCCATCAAACAATCCAACAGTATAAGAAGCCTTTGTGAAAGTTCCTAACCAATTTGCACACTATAGAAGTCAAACAAACAAACAAAAAAGGGTGATAGATGAAACGCCACATTTAGCATTAGCAACCCTCTTTGTATACACAAGTCATGTATTATGATAGTTTCATGAACGAACTAAAGCATGATCATGATAGTTTCTCTTTATTTTAATGCTAAACATATGAATTTGCAAGGAACCAGAGTACCAGCACAAAGAAATATACCTTGCTGCCTTTGTAATCCTTGTGGTATGCACATCTTCTTCCCTCTTGCTTTCTTCTCTTTTGCCAGTATGAGTTGTCTTGGAAGGTATTCAGCATATGTGCACTACTAAAAGTTGGATTCTCTTTAAAAGTGGATACCCCCTGTCCCAACAACTCTTATTTCAACTCTAACTAAAAAAATGGGCATCCAGTTAGTGCATAACCACCAACTGAAAGAAGACAAAAAACAAACAAAAAGAGATGAAATACATCAACACAATGGTTGCACAGCAGCACGATACCCCCTATAGAAGTTCAGCTTAACCCAATGACCTGTTCAAATTTCAAAGTCAACCTAGGAACCTTATGAATGTTTCGAATAAGATACAACCGAACGACGAACATTTTCTACAAAGAGAATAACTAGAAGGATCTTTTTTTCCTTCTATAATCGTAATATTTTCTCCAAGTTTCCTTTTTCTCAGGGCACAGGGTCTAGTCCAGGGCTATTGTACCAGTGAATTGTGAATGGTAGCAATAACTCTAGGTGAAAGTATTGTTCTATGCTCAAAGGTTAAGTTTAGCATCTACTTTTCCACAGAAAAGCTTAAGATAGAAAAGACAGCTTGCTTGGAAGCCACATCTCAAGAACAAAAATGGAATATGCATATAATCGGTTGGCGGATCTAACTGACAGCAGCCCAGCACAGACCTAAGCAATAGTTCAAAACTTCAAACGAAGATGCATGAGAAGGAAGAAACATGAAACGAAAATTCATTAGGTCCCGACACACATGTACTCGGAGTCAGTAGATGCCGTCAACCCTATCATATTTTGAGCAGTGGGTATCAAGTGGTTTTCTTGACTTCAGAGTGGAAGTCAATGATGAAAACATAGTGATATAATTCAATAGTGTTACAGTTTCCTTGTATACATACCATTTACAGTAGAAGTGAAGGTTAGGCTAAATTCCATACTTTTTTCTGGTCAATAAAGGTAGAGCCAGAAAAAAAAAGATAACAGAAAATTGAGCAACAAGGAAACTAAATAAGTAGAATATAATGTCTCTACGATATTATTAGTTGCACTAGCCATAAGCCCAGAACTGGATGGAGTACATGAGACACTAAAGATAGTTATGTACTTCCAGCTTTCTGGAAAAGTTGAAGAACCAATTGGCCTTCTCTTTAAATTGTGTTGCAGCTTACAAACCACAGTACTCTTACTGAAAGGTGATCAGGAAAAGCAACATTGCAATGCAGAAATGCAACCCCTTGGGGTAAAGAAGTATAGGTCACAGCAGAAAAGCACATCAAAGATAAAGGTCCCTGGGAATCTTGGCAGAATACAATTGAGTGTACAGGATGCCTACGAGGGTGTACAATACCTAAGAAATGATAAGGTCAAATGCCACCAGGATATTGACACTGCACTTAATCAACATCGTGATAAATGGAACACCTCCAGTCTGATTTACATAATTTTTTCTTTCCTTCTAATTCCCAGATTAAGACCAAATTGAGCTAGAGATAACTTTTATGGGAACCATGCTGGTTTTGTTATATCACAATCCACAAAAAGGTACTAACAATTTTAATCGACCAATGAAAACACCATTGACATTATAAATGTAGATGCCATGAGAAAGAGAGTATTGACAACTTTTTAAGTCCAACATGGAGGAGAAAAAGTCAAAGAATCAAATGTATTATGGTTTCCTTGGAGAACTCCCTCCACTATACTGTAGACAGAATGTGTCCCCTATAAATAAAGATTGACCAATGGCAAGCTAGCACAAGACACCAAGCACCCATGCACACGCTTCCTATCAAGATGAAAAGAGGCCTACTGATACTTTGGTCCTTGTTCTGCCTCAGTGTGGCAAACACAGCTGCAAGAAACAAGGCCAACAAACCTCTTGAGTTTGATCAGCTGAAAATACCAAGTAAATATGGTTCAGAAAAACAAGATGATCTGCGAGAGAAGGATAGAGTAAGAGCAATGCCAGGGCAGATGGAGGAAGCCGAGTTCAACCAATATGCAGGATATGTCACAGTGGATGCAAAGGCTGGAAGGGCTCTGTTCTACTATTTTGTTGAGGCTCCTCATGATCCTTTGAAGAAACCACTGGTCCTATGGCTGAATGGAGGTATGTTAAATTTTATCCATAAAACATAAAGTGCATTGTACTGCATGAGAACCAGTAAAGTGCACTGTACTGCATGTAAACCAGTAAAACTATGTAAATGGCACAAACAAAAAGGTGCAAACTTAAGATTGAGCATATTAGGTCTATTTTAAACATATTATTTCATCATTGGCTGCTTGGTGAGATCTAAATAATTCTTGGTTGCTTGGTAGTTTGAGGTATTCGTAGGTGTCAGTGTGGTGTTTTTGTTTTTTGTTGGCTTCTCCAGTGAAACGAGGTGAAGCTACTGGACTTGTTTTCCAAAAGAAAAATCTAACTCAAAGAAACATGAGCAGGTCAAGTTCATAATATATGTTGTTTAAAATGTTTGAAATGATGTAGCAAGAAGCTCCACACCTAATAAGTTTTAAGTCCAGGTTTCTCTTCTTTAAGAGAAAGAGACCTAGTTTGCTCAGAGTAGCATACCCATTGGATTTGCAGGCCCTGGTTGTTCGTCTTTTGGAGCTGGAGCCATGCTAGAACTTGGACCTTTCTCTGTCCGTAGTGACAACAAGACATTGTACAATAAACAGCATGCATGGAACACAGGTAGCTCACTTGCTCAAACCCTGCCCATTATATAGTTAATCAACACATATAACCAGATTGATCTGACACTACTCATTTGCAAGTGCAGTGGCCAATATGCTGTTCGTTGACGTCCCAGCCGGCGTTGGGTACTCATACTCCAACACTACATCAGATTATTACAACATTGGTGACAAAAAGACTACAGATGATGCATACATATTCCTCATCAATTGGATGAAGAAGTTTCCTGAGTATCAGGGCCATGATTTCTTTATAACTGGTGAGAGCTATGCGGGTCACTATATACCAGAGCTAGCTAATCTGATTGTATCTAACAATAGAGCCATCAATTCAACAAACATCAAGCTCAAAGGTGTTGCAGTAAGTGTTCAATAATAACTGTTTTGGAGCTTCTATTTTTTGGTAATATTCTAAACGTAGACAGTGCTGTGAAACTTGATCAGATAGGCAACGCAGATTTGCATGACAACGTGACCCTAAGAGCATCATTTGACTACTATTGGAGGCATGCTATGATTTCTGACAGAGTCTACAGAGCCATCCAGACTAGCTGTGGTTTCAATGAGACATACACTAACGACTGCCAGAATGCCATGAACTTAGCTAACAAGGAAAAGGGAAATGTTGATGACTACAACATCTATGCACCACAATGCCATGATGCTTCCAATCCCTCTCCTTCTGGTTCCAGTGACTCGGTACCCACACCCAAACAAGTCAATTGACATATGCTATTAATTATATTGTTATATACCCTACTTGGCATACTTATTTCATAGCTTACCATGTAAGGTGGCATTTGGTGATCCTTGCACAAACCACTATGTCTCTTCTTATCTAAATAATCCTGAGGTCCAGAGAGCACTCCATGCAAACACCACAGGGCTGAACTACCCATGGATGGATTGCAGGTATATGGATTCAAATATTTGAACAAGTTACCTATATTTGCCTCCATTTAAAGTGTAATTTTCTTCCATGCATGATCAGTATCAAGAGTCCCTCTCTTTCCTTATTAATTATTATCTGAATGTAAGCTATATTTAAGGTATCAACTATAATCTATTTTGTGTATAATTGATCCTGGGACCTATAACTTGCACACAATTTTTGATCATTAGCGGTTTGCTTAGATGCCAAAATGGTGCCTAGAACCTTTAGGACCCAAACAAAGTTTCAGGTAATGTGAACAACAGACCACAGAAAAACTTCTTATAACAAGGTTGGTTTTTTAATATATACAAAAGGTTAGAGGTATCAGTAAGTCAACATCGAGAGAAGGCATATAGAATGTGATTCTGTGGCCTAAGCATAGGTCTGCTTGTCCAGCAACCATCAATCTGAATTCTGAAACCATAAAGAGAAGATCTATTCTTGACTCCCAAGCTGCCTCTTACTAGATGTGTATCAAGTAAAAGTCAACATTTGAAGCTTCTAACAAATTTAAATATTCCCCTCAAGCAGTGGACTTATATTTGATAACTGGAAAGACTCACCAGAGACAATGCTGCCATCAATCAAGACACTAATTTCAAGTGGCACAAGGATATGGCTGTACAGGTATATATCTATGTTTCTAAGCTATTGACTTAAAACACATATTAGTTATTACCCCTTAATTTCAACTCTACCCTTGCATGCCAGTGGTGATATGGATGCAGTTTGTTCGGTCACGTCAACACAATATGCACTAGATATTCTTGGGCTACCTGTAGAAACATCCTGGCGTCCATGGCGCATCGACAATGAGGTACGGAACACATTCCTGATTAGAGGACCAAATTTTCACATTAGAATCCACGTCTGTGTTGAGAGCATGCTTTAATTTGTTTCTATGCAACCTAAATAGAATAGTTTCAAGGTAGTTGTGTAAAGGAAGAAGTATATGCATGCCAAAAAAAATAAAATAAATCAGAAATGCATCGTTTCTTGGAGCTACTAAAGAGGATAGTTTCTTGATCTGCTACTGAATTGGCAGGTTGCTGGCTATGTGGTTGGGTACAGAGGCCTGGTCTTTGCAACAGTCAGAGGAGCAGGGCACATGGTCCCTTACTACCAGCCTCGCAGGGCGCTAGCGCTGCTCTCCTCATTCCTTGAAGGAAAGCTTCCCCCAGAATGATCTAGCAAGCCAAACACCTTGCAATCGTCATGCTCAGCATCCTACCCCACAATCCAATGGAGTCATGGTATTTCATAAGGAAGGCCCTAATATATATGTAGTACACCCTCAGCAGCACTTCATGGATTAAGTAGTTCTGCTCAAAATCGAGCATTCATGTAGATAAAATAAATTCAGGTACTAGTACTAAATCCTGAGAATTTTCATACTTGGCCATCTCCTGAATGAGGCCTGATTAAACAAGAGCAAATTGGCCTGGTTGCTCCACAGCAGTTGGGTGACAAAAATTCACCCAACCAAACAGCTGCAGTCTTTGTTGTAAGCAGGGTGACAGATTTTTAGGACTATATCATCTTTCTTTAAAGCAATGTCATCTTCGTGGGAAAATGAACTAAGGAACATTTACGTGTGCATCTACAGCAGCTTTCAAAAATGGATGCCTTCACCTGTCAGGATTCCCATCAAAGCTGCTATCTAAAGATTGTCAAAGATCGCAAAAGAAATGCACAACTTCTTAGTAAAATGCTTTATTGCAACCTAAATTCACATACGTACGCTAGATCAATCCATTGCCCCCCAATTCCACCGAATTCCTCCTATAAAATGCCCTTTACAACCCAAAATTCACATATATCATGTACGATAAATCGATCCACTGCGCAATTCACTGATTCCCAATATGTAGGGGTGCTAACCTTCTGCTTAAATAAGAGGCTCGATCGATCTCCGCTCCCATCGGCCTCAGCCCTTCCTCTTGGTAGCCTCGCCGGCATCGGCGCCCTCCGCCGGCCCTCTCCCGTCGAAGCAGCGCGCTGCGGCTAGCTGCATTTGCGCCGCGCCACCGGGCCACGGCCGACATGGAGGTGGTGGAGAGGGCGGCAGCCGACGGCGTAGGCTTCGCCGGCTCGAGCGCCAGGGCGGGCGCGTGGTGGAGCGTGGGAAGGGCGGGGAGGAGAGAGAGGGGAAGGTGGGAGACGGCGGCGCGGAGATCGAGTAGGGATGAGCAGATCGAGAGGGCTCCGCCGTCGCCGGGAGGAGAGGAGCGTCAGTTCGCCGCGGCACCGCCGAGTAACTTCGGCCTGTTCAGATTATCTTATTCCAAAACATACCATTTAAATTTAGGACATTTAATTTTATACCACTTTTAATATGTGTGAATTAATTATTTGTCACTTACGGTGTATGACATAGGGATCCTCATATGTGTGTGTATATATATATGGATTCAGTGGTAAATCATTTATCACCATCCGTAAGAGTGGCAAATAATTAATTATTTCTTTAAAATTCTTTTAAAGTTGTCAAAAACATGTATACATTTAGTTTTTTAAAAAAATTAGTAAATATATAAGAAATCATACCAAAATTTTAATAGTATTGTCAACTTACCAAAATTTTAGCTACAATCTAAACGGTCCCTTCATTTTCACTCATTACACAAAGTGCCGATATGAAAAAAAAACAAAAGGCTACTATATAAAACATTCATTTTATCGAATCGCAATATAATTATTACGCTCTCTATTTACTTGTAATATATATATTCTCTGTTTTTACAAACTTTGATACAATGATTACATTTATTGTAAGATAAATGGGAGATGAAGTATAAATGAAAGGAAAAGAAAAATGAGGTTAAGAAAGAAGGAAAAAAACCAAGACTTCCATAGCATTCTTGAATTCCTTCACCCCAATTCCCAAACACCCTAATAAAGGGACATTGTTTTGAATTACTTTGGTTTTAAAAATCCTTCATACTAAGGGCATATTATCTATTCAACCCTTTGACAAATCGTCATCGGTATATTTGATTTGTGTAAATAGATACTAACAACTTGTAAATTGCTACAGTAGCTACTTTGTATGAACTCGCGCTAGAACGACCCATGCAAACAAAATTGATCTAATGTGATGGCCATAAATTGCAATAAATTTTAGACTAACAATATGTGCAATTATTACTTGCATGATATTTTTTAAGACATACTCCCTCCATCCAAAAAAACCCAAAGAGTTTGAATTTTGTATTAAAAAAAGTCAAACTTCTATCATACTACCTATCCTTGGCATACTATTCACCTTCAATATTCTTTACCTACCGTTACTATTTTTTAAAAATAATGAGAGATATTTTCGTCATTTATATTCTTACTAGTTTCACTCATGGATGCTAGTAATGGCTTTTTATTTAAACAGAGGGATTAGACTCACAAAGAAAAGCAAGACAACTAGATGCCTAACCATAACTTTTAAAAAACAAACTTCCGATAAAAATGAAGTTTTTAGCATAAACATTAAAATAAAACTTTCTTCAGTTACTTAATAAGCGCGTGATAGAAATTATTTTGGTCCTTTACATTAATAAGTGAACATCATATGAATTACGAGGATCAAAATTTCTACATGAAATTAATTGTTTAGGTTCTGAACATGAAAAATGGACTTTGGCACGACTAATTTCTCTTGTTCTTTGATTCCAAATGAAATCTACAGAACATGGCCATACGTGTAAGATGAGATGCTACCACCATGTGCACATTAAGGCTGTGTTCTTTTGGAGGGGTTGAGAACCCCTCCCCTCTGCACGCAAAACGGAGCGATAGATTAATGCATGATTAATTAAGTATTAGCTAAAATTAACTTATAAAATAGATTAATATGATTTTTTAAAACAACTTTCATATAGAAACCTTTCGCATAACACGCATCGTTTAATAGTTTGAAAAGCGTGTGCGCGAAAAACGATGGAGAGAGGTTGGGAACCAGGGGTGCCGAACATAGCGTAAATCAATTTTGCTTTTGTGGATCGTTTTGTGGATCGTTTTGCCCTGAGTTTACATAACTTATTGTATCTGAATAAGCAATTTGTAAGTTGTCTATTTACACCTATCACATAAATTCATCTACTGTGAGCACAATATACTTTTTTTCCCTATTTGCAAAGAATTTCTTGTCTTTTCCGTCAAAGAATTGGTCTTTTCTTTCTCACAATTACGACACCAATATCGGTACACGAAGATCTTGTAGCCGCATCAAGCAACGAGCATGGTTTAAGTAACATAGAGCATTGAGGCATCTTCATCGCTGCCAAGCGAGTGTGATAGTTCATGAGGTGCAACACTGCTCTTCTCAAGCCGGCGGTGCTACGTATATCTAGGGGGTGCCCAGGAAGCTAGTTAAAAATTCTTTTTAGCTATAGTTTATCAATTTTCAATATATATATATATATATATATATATACCCGTCAGTCCATACTTGGGCACCCGTATCAAGCTAAATTTGATTCAAAATAGAGTAAAAGCTAGCGAGCGGAACCCTCTTTATTTTGTTCTAGCCCCACCCCTGCCTCAAGCCATTATGGCAAGTAACAGATAGGGTAATTAGCATGAAGAAACCGAGACAACTTACTATGTTGATACTTACACATGGAACATTGGCTTATTTTGGGGAACTGAAGATTTCAAGAAGCAACTAGCGAGTAGCTTGCATGTGAAAATACAAGAGGTCTAACTTTCTTAGCTTTCGGCTTTTAGATTCTATCGATCCTCATAATCCTTTTGATTATTTGGACTATTTGGCAAGCTAAAAATTCTAGAAGAAGTTACAGGGAAGATGAAAATTTTAGAAGAAGTTGCAAGCGCAAGGAGCTTCCTAAAATAGAGCTATCATCTGGATTGGTTTTTTTATCTAGTTGTCTCGTGCAAAATGTCTTGATTAGTTATTTGGATTGTTGGATACATGGATGGTTTGATCAAATAGATTAGCCTTCGTGCATTTACATACAAGCTGTTTCTGCTAAATCCCGTTCATTGTTTCCAGTAAGAACAAATGGGAACATTGGTCTTGTTGAAATTGCTATTGTATTGTTCGTGACGTTGTGTAAGCAATGAGAAATCAACAAAGAATGCACGAGATATCGATAGATATCTCAATATTATATGGGTGCTTAATTGAACGGAATCGCGGATCATAACTACCGGATTCAACTGGTTTTCCATTAATAAATCGCTTATTTTCTAGTTTTTTTTGGGTGGGGAGATGATGGTATGCGGGTTTCATGTGTGTAGAGAAGAGCGGAAGGAAGAATATACTTTTAAAATCATAGAGAAATATGAGAAAATGATAGCATTGTAAAATTACAGTATTGAAAAAGGATACCATTATTATTCATGGAACCTGATGTGTGTCATTGAAATTTTAGAAAATTTGATCATTGCATTACCGTCAGGTTTTCTGATATTCTCATCCAATCCCATTCCATCCAGATTTCAGGCTAGGACAAATTGACCGCAACCTTGGTGCAGGCGACATAGCTCGTAAGCTAGAGTCATAGCTTTAGACATTGGAGTGGAACACGAGCAATGGCGTTTTTTCAGCATGACCACTGATCCACCTTGTGGTTCAAGATTTATATCACATGATGCATCGCCAGCTACTTGTCGCAGCTCAGGTTCGTGCAGCTCAGCCCAACGAGCAGCAACCGAACATCTCATCGAAGTCGAACTCACCGGTGAGGAGCATATCGGTGACCTTGATGAGCTGATCCTTGCCGTGCAAGTGACACAACCAGTCCACTAGGTTGACATTCTCACCCTAACTTCGTCCTTGTTGATCGGGCGACGGTCGCATCACAACATGATGTCGTAGTTGAACACGTTGGCCTGCTCGATGGCTTTGCCAGATTGGAGGTACTCTAACACAAGGTACCCCTTGTGGTGTCAACGGTGAGCATGTAGACATGGCTCTTGTTGTGGTTCATGAATTAGGCGAGGTTGAAGTCGTCGAGCTTACCAACGGCGATGGAGGAGTGGTTAGAGATGGATGAGTTATAAGAGCATCACCAACAGTATCATTAAATTTCATCCCCAAAATATTGTTTATGGGAATCCTAAATAGAAATTGAGATGTCAAAATAATAATATCTCCAAGAGATTAGCTAAATTTGACTTCCTAAAAATAAAAGGTGGGTCCCATACAAAACTACCAACCGAAATCCATTTCATTCTCGCCCCTCGTGAGATCGCGGCGTTATGCTCGCTTCCACGCCCTGCGATCGCAGTATCACACTCACCACTCAGCGATGTTGCTCCTCTCCGATCGACAGGTCTTGCAGCTCCAAACATGGGATTTAGCAAACAACATCAGCTCCAGTCAGTAGTAAAAAAATGTTTATGAGAATCCTAAACAGAAATTGAGATGTGAAAATAATAATCTCTCCAAGAGATTAGGTAAATTTGACTTCCTAAAAATAAAAGGTGGGGCCCATACAAAACTACCAACCGAAATCCGTTTCATTCTCGCCTCTCGCAAGATCGCGGCGTCACACTCGCTTGCACGACCTGCGATCGCAGTATCACGCTCACCACTCGGCGTTGTCGCTCCTCTCCGATCGACAGGTCTTGCAGCTCCAGACATGTGATTTAGCAACAATAATCAACTCTAGTTAGTAGCAATCAACACCAACCAGCAAGCAGCAATACATTAGTAGCTCCAGAAATTTGTTAGCAACTCTACAGTCAGCAGCATAAGCACCAACAGCAGATCCGGTACAACATATGGGCACCTATCAATACTTGAGCAACAATACAATGTCAAAAAATAAAACATACAATTTGCATGTCAAGCACTATCTATTTATTCCTAGCATTCTTGTTAGACAAAAATGGTGCGATTTTAGCAGCAACTTTAGCAGCAGCAAGGCCATTTAACAATTTTAGCATCAGTAGCAACACATCTAGCACATAGCAGAGGACATCAGTTTTCAGTCTGCATCAGTTTTTAGCAAGCATCAGTTTTTAGTTTGCAAATGCATTAGCAAGCATAAGAGAATCGTCACGCCGCGCGTGTGCACCGTGACAGCGTGCTCCGCCGTTGACGTTGGCATTTTTTTACTCAGAACAGAACTAGAAACAGTAGCAACAGCAGGATGAAGTACTATTTTCCCTCAACACATAGCAACAGCAAAAACAACAACATATTGGTCATGCGTTGTTGCATCGACGCAGACCGACGGGAGTGGATGTGTGAATCAGGCGCCGGTCAAATGTGTGAATGGGAGAGCCACAAAAGACTCTGCCGATTATGGGAGAGATGCGTCCGGTGGCAGGGTAGCTAGAGGCGATGATGACGGACAACCTCGCGACGAAGTTGCAGGCTGGAAAATTTCAACGAGGGCGCGGGAACTGCCACAAGCGCTCGCGAGAGGTGGATTGGGAGTGAGAGCGCTTCT